TAAATTAGGTTAAAAGTCGCGTAATGATTAAATATGGTTTTGCTCGAGTTAATTAATGTCATAAGCTTCGCCGGGTGTCGATGTCACTGCAGTGACATGCAGCGCGACACTCTGAGTGACACAGGTCACTACACATGCCACTAGCGAGTGACACATGACAGTGGAAAACCGGACGTGCCACCGGAAGTGTCACTACACTCAGTGGCATGTGCCAGTGTCATCTGTACGTCAGATGTCGTGTCACTCCATGTTAAAACTGCTACTGTGAATCCGCGTTCAAGCGCACACAATAAGCTAAAACTCGCCCCAAGCACCGGCAAAAACAAATAACAATGAATGTGTCGAGGAAAGAGTAAGGACATATCTTAATTATTTATTAATAAACTTATTCTGAGTCAGTGTCGCAAAGATCCTGACTGGCAATCTCCTCTTGGACTCGCCTTTAGAGTGAAATTCATCTTTACGGATTACATGAAGGAGTTTTTTTGTTTTCGATTTGTTTTATTTCGTTAAGTAATAATTTAAAGCTTTCTATAAATATATTTATTATGTCTGTGAGGCATATACATTTTGCTTCATTTTGTTAAGCGCTCCTGTTTAAAAACCAGACGACAGAAAGCGCATAATTTTGGTTTTCTTTATTTTATAAAAACGCTGTAACGTTTTTTGATGTATTACTCGTACTTTGTGAGCAAAAATGAAGGATAACTTTAAATTGCTCCCACTGAAAAAATGCAACTGATTGCTCTGGCGCCTCGATGTCCTGCAAGCTTTTTATAAGCAAACTATGCGCCTAATAGCACACATTCTTTAACGTTTAAGCTACCATTGTTTTATACTTGAACTGTTTTATATCTTTTATTTTAGGCAAGTCGTGATGATCTGAGAAGGCAAACTGATCAAACAGACAATGATGGTCTTCCGCTGGGCGCTGTTCGTTAAAAAAAACGTATTTTTAACGAATAAAAAATGCTCCAAACGTTTTTCTAAATAAGCCGAATAAAAAACGAAACTAAATATAAACACTTTGCCATTACATACAAAACTGAACTATTTCATAGCTGAAACACTAAGTTGTTTAAGGAGAAGGGGGAAATATCTTTTTGTTCCGTCTATTGCTTCACCGTTATTTCGAGATTAAACCCAGCGTAAATATGCAGATGTCATTCCCAAAACATATCAGCGTATATGTGCCGAAAACGAAAGTTTCATACAAATTCTGAATGGATTATAGCCTGGAAAGTGCAAAGCACGCTCCTCTTATTATCACTAAAAAGCGTCACTAATCTTAGTTCATAGAGATCTCACAAAGATCCGTTATAATTTATAAAGCTCTCTAAATTACACAATTAATCTTTTATTTACATGGCGTCTACACTCAAAAGATGATTCACGAGCACACAAAATGGCACTTAATAAAAACCAACCCGGCGCTTTCAGCAGTGAGTGAATTCTGTTAATCTAGAGAAATGACAGATCAATATCCGTGAACCTGATTTTTTTTTTCCCCGCAGCCACAGTACGCCGGAAATCCGGCGTGGTGCCGGAACGCTCTCACCCCTGGTGTATCTGCAGCTGTATCCCATCTAGACTTTACCCAGATTAATTTAAGTGTATGAAAAAAAATCTAAAACCGCCCTAGTATTTACTAGAAGTTAATATTGCACATGAAAAACACATTCAATGCGATTATTTTTTCCAGCAGAGATAACAGAGACGCTGTCAGCTCTCGGTGCGCTTCAGAAAACCAGCATCACTATCACATGATTGACTGTTTCTGGCTGCTTCGTGACACTGATGAATAGCTGGTGACTGATTTCACAAATCGCTGTCAGTCGTCCCATATATTTTTGGAAGGAATCAGGTGTGTATCGCGGACATTGACAAATGCAGCTTGAATCAATCTATTCTTAACACATTAACGCCCCATCTGAACAGATTTTATATTAATAATAAAAAACAGCAAATCTATTGACTTTAAAGGGGAGCTATTATGCAAAAATCACTTTTAAAAGAGGTATTAACACAGCAGTGTGTGAATATAACCAGCTTCTAATTGTAAAAATTAATCAATTCTACTGTTTATAATCAGACTTGATATAAACAGTCTGCAGTAACACTTTGATTGACATTCTTCCTTTGAACGTGTCATCAGAGAAGGAAAGCCCCGCCCACTAGTGACCATCTCTCCCTCATTAGCATAAGACATCAGTCTTGTTTTTGAATCTGCCACAGGGCCGGAGTGGGACTCCTTTTCAGCCCTGGAGTTTCAAGCATTAGACCGGCCCACCTGAGTTCACGACTGACTATATTAAAATAAGGTCATTTCCAATTCAGTTTCTAATGACACTATCACGTCTTTATCAAGAAAACAGATGCTTTAGAACTTCATAAATATGTCATAAATATGAGTAGATTAAAGGGTAGCTAAATGTCCAACACTACTCTTTAAAACATCACAATGTCCTTTCCTGCAATATCTGAATATATATTCTGTGCAAAATAGATATCCAGTCCTTTGTAACGGTGGTCACACAAAAAAATATAAATAAAATATGTACACCTATATAAGTAACCCAAACAGTATTACATGTCTTAACACTAAATATGGGGGGGGGGGGGGGAGTATATATATATATATATATATATATATATATATATATATATATATATATATATATATATATATATGTATATATATATAGCTATATATATAATTGGGTGAGGTTCGAACTCGGGTCAGTGGCATCATAACGCAACGTGCTGACCACTGGACCACAACAGCGCGGTTATGCAGGGGCATTGCGGTTACCTATAAGTAGGGCCAGACGGAATCTGCGGATGTTTTTTGCTATTTCTGCGGAGAATTTTGGTAAAAATCTGCGGATTCTGCGGAATTATTTTGGGAGTATCCAGCTTCCTTAATATATGAAACAAAAAGTAATAAATTACTGACTAAAAACTGAATAAATTTAGATTTACACATTTACTCAAGTAAATAAAGAGAATTAATGATGGGCTAAAAATCTGCAGAAATCTGCGGAAAATCTGCTAAAAATCTGCGGAATTCTGCGTGCACAGATTCCGTGTGGGCCTACCCATAAGACTCTTTAAACCACAGTATTACTTTCTATTGATGGCTTAATCTTTTTCTCCCCTTTTTAGATTTCTGATCAAGTTATGTCAGATTTATTAATGTAGTGAATCATCTGATTTTCATTGAGCAGGTGTAATGTTCATTAATTATTCGAATTCTTATATTCTCTAAGGTGCCGCTGTTTGGGGTCAAATGATAGTTACGTCATCATTACCCTGCAGGCTGCATTTTGCTCACAGGGCTGCGAGAAATTAAATAAAAAGAGCGGAGCTGCTGCAAAATAATCAATAAAAAGAGTGGGGCTATAGTCAAATAAATAAATAAATGAAAAAACTGCGACTGCTGAGAGTGCAGGCAGATAGGGACACCGGCCCTCGCAGCCAAAAAATGGACCGGCCCACTTGGAGATCTCCTGGGCCCGGTTTTTCAAAAGGTTTAATCCGGATAAAATTGATCCGGATTTAGTAATCCTGTTTTTGCGATCCGTGATCAAGTAATCCAGCTTACTTTTTGAGCCAGTTTTTCAAAGCAACATCAGATTGGATCAATCTGATCCGGATAGGAACTTTTCAGGATCACTAAATCTGGATAACCAGTGCTCAAACAGGATAGGACATCACAATGTAGAACTATAGATATGTAAAGAGTAGAATAGCCAGCATGGGGTCAATATAACTTTATTTTTATTTGAAATTAAAACTAAGAAAATTTGATAATTATTTAAATAATAATAATAAATAAATAATAATAAAAACAAGAAAAACAACACCCTATCCTCTTAAAGCAGTCCGCTCATTTGAGACCTACAACACTGTACATTGAGGATATTTATAATAAGTTTCAAATATAGATGTAAATAAAAAAAGACTTAATGTCAAAAACTCCACAATAATATCCGACTTCGTTATCTGATGTGGAGAGAGCAGCTTGTCTGAGCATAGCCTTTAGGAGGCAGATCTCACGTCATTGGCCTTGGTTTGCTGCAGTTTGGTCAGAGTCAGTTGTTTCTCTGCCAGATGAAGCTGTGCTTCTGCCCTTTCAGTCTCTTTTTGCAATTGTTGAAAGAAATTTTAAAAATCAGTCATTGCCATTCTTTGCATTTTTTTTTATTCTGCAATCATTGCATGCATCACTAATAAATATTCTAAAAAGAAAAATATTTTCCATTGTGATGAATATATATATCAGCTAGTGACAGAATAAAATGTATTGTTTTTGGTCAGTTTTGACAGCTGTTTGGGGGATTGTTTTATGAGGCCAAACTCTTTCTACTTTGCTGTAGGCCTATACTGAAAGGCTGAATACATTAAAGCCTATAATCACTATAGCCTGACGGATAAACAAATAAAACGAAAACCTTATGAATAAATAGTATATCTCGTAAGATGGTGCATGATCCAAAAATAGTATTATTTAATAAATTTTTCAGTTTTCATTACATTTTGGGCATGAAATCCACGCTAAATCCAACCTTCTGATGGGATCAGATTAATCCAGGTTTTTTGGATCAAAGTGATCCAGATTCTACAAAAAAGGTCTGAAAAACCCAGACTAAAGGTTTGATCCGGATCAAAACCAAGATTAGATTACGTGATCTAATCTGATTAGGTAATCCGTTTTTTCTTTTGAAAAACCCATTTTCAAGATTTGATCCAATCCCTTATCCAAAATCCTAGTGGATTACTTTTGAAAAACCGGGCCCTGGTTCTCACGATTAGCCAATCCAGGCCTGATCTGCCACTATGCTGACACGAAGGCACTTGTAGCTCCGCCCTCTTTTGAAAAAGAGTACAATCTCATTTGAATTTAAAGCGACAGTCACCAAAACGGCACAATTAGGATCAAAGTCTAAAAGCAGCAGTTTCAAAAAGGAAAACAAACACAAATAATGCATAATACACACCTGGGAGACTCCAAAGTCCTGAAATTTCCAGCGTCTTCAGCTTCCTCTCCAAATCAGCAACTCGATTTCCAAGAATTCTATAGAACACAGTAAATATACTTAATGCAGATTTCAGCAGTGTTGGGTGCGCTACTTTAAAAAAAGTAATAGATTAGAAATTACTGATTACTACTGGAAAATTGTGATCTGATTTCATTACTAGTTACTTTAAAACCTGTTTCGGCTGAGTTGGGCTGCCGTGTGTTTGGGCACCACTGTCCTCCCTAATGACGAGTATTGTCTTAGAATGCTTTCTATTCAAGTGCTTGAACAAGTTGCTGGTCGAGTTTAAAGCAGTCAAAAGTACTAAAGATACTGGACAGACTGCATTTCACAGCTATAGTTTTGTTCCTCCACTCAATGAAATCAAAGTATTATCTATATTTTCACTTGAAGAAGCAGCCGCTCTCAACAGCATCCATTTCAGCTGGCGTTCTCAAGCAATATAAAAGCACATGCTTTTTAACTGATGTTGCAGTCGAAAATGTGATTCAAAAGAAGCATCTTTTTTCTTCTGAAAACTATTTATATATATATTTTTTAAGATTTATTTTTTGGCCTTTTTTAGATAGGACAGTATTTACACAGGAAGCAAAGTTGGAGAGACAGAGGGAGGGAAATGTCCTTGAGCCAGGATTTGAACACAGGACACCTCGTCGTGCTACTGCACCACATGTCAATGTGCTAACCACTAAGCTATTGCGCTGACTGAAAATTATATTTGTGATGTAAGTAACACAATTACACTGACCTTAGTAACTGTGATCAAATTACACACATTTAAAATGTAATACGTTACATGACTGCGTTCCCCAAGAATGTCATTAGAATACAGTAACGCTTTCCTGTTGAACACGTTACACCCAAAGACGACAAAGACGAAGAATAAGACTAAGATGAAGTCAACGAAGAAGTCGATGAAGTCCAAGTAGACTAAGACCAGACGTTGATGACAAAGAGAAAGACTAAGACCAGACGATGAAGAGAAAGACCAAGATGACGAAAACCATGAAGACTAAGACTAGACGGCAAAAAGATGATGACCAAGAAGATGATGATGAAGACTAAGACTAGGCGACAAAGATGATGACTAAGACCAAAAGACCAAGACGATGAACAAAGAATAAGACGAAGATGAAGACAAATCAGATGAAGACTAAGACGGACGGTCTGTGACTTTGAAACCAAGAATTTCCCATACTACCGACGTGCAGTTTTTCTTTGATATTAATTTGTCTTTTAATGCTTCTGAAGTGGCAGACACCATCATCCCACTTGTCCATACTTTACTGTTTGTGTTTTTTTATTGTGGGCGTTCCGCATAGTTCGGTTGCGCAATTCCGATTAGACAGAACGAAAGTGTGCTCACTCAATTGGCTAGTAAGACAGAGGTCACGCATCAGTTTTTTTTAAATCTCTCTTTGGTCACTGCATTAAAAGGCACCGTGTCGTTAGCGAGGTAGTGCGTTGTGGCGTTAGTTATCTCCTGAGTAGGGTTGTACCAGCTGTTCGTAAGTTCTTAAACAGTAAGGTAAAGTACACACTAGGAGCTTTGTAACCACTAGCTAGTTTGTAACTAAAGTTCTTAACATGTTCATAAAGCAAACCATAGTTAGTAGGTCGCAAGCCGTAAAGTCATGCGTATACTCTCATTGAATAACGTATATTATGACGTATATAAGTAACCCAAACAGTATTATATGTCTTAACACAAAAAATGGAAATTACTCAGGTGAGGATCAAACTCGGGTCGACAGTGTCATAATGCAACGTGCTGACCACTGGACCACAATGGCACTGTTGGTATCACAATCTCGACCTATTAAAACACAAATACGTGCACACCTGTTGGTCTGTCTTTGGTGCTGAATGATGATGTTCTTCTCATGAATGGTCTCCAGTAAAGCTGTGGCTAAAGACTTCAGGTCTGAGATGGACTGAGGTGTTGCTGGTAAACTGCAGCCGTTCTCCTCTGACAGAAAGCCATGCACTGCAGACAGCAGAAACAGAGTGTGTGTATGAGAAAATTGCTCATTTAATACACTAAATAACAACATTTCAACCAATTCCTGTTAGTACACTTCTTTTGAGCACCTTGTTTAGGAGAAAGGACACCAGTGAGAGATCTGCTACTGGACTTGCCACCGATTTCAGGGTTTTTTCTTCGATCCAGAGCAGTCTAGAAGACATCCAGAATGACAGGAATATTGCAAATGACATTTTAATAACTTAGGGATAAAGTAGATCCAGGCATATTGGCAGGGCCGGAGTGGGACTCCTTTTCAGCCCTGAAGTTTCAAGCCTTAGAACGGCCCATCAGTTAATGATTGACTATATTAAAATAACGTCATTTCCAAATCAGTTTCTAATGACACTAACACATGTTTTTCAAGGACACAGCTGCTTTAGAACTTCAAAGGTTTGTCATAAATATGAGAAGATTAAAGAGGAGCTAAATCTCCAACACTACTCTTTAAAACAGGGGTCACCAATCTCGGTCCTGGAGGGCCGGTGTCCCTTCAGGATTTAGCTCCAACTTGTCTCAACACACCTGCCTGAATGTTTAAAGTATACCAAGTAAGACCTTGATTAGCTTGTTCAGGTGTGTTTGATTAGGGTTGGAGCTAATATCTCCAGGACCCTGGCCCTCCAGGAACAAGTTTTAAACCATTGCTTTAAAACATCACAAAGTCCTTTCCTGCAATAGCTGAATATATATTCTGAGCAAAATTCCTAGATATCCAGTCCTTTGTATATGTGGTCACACAAAAAATAAAACATGTACACCTATATAAGTAACCCAAACAGTATTATATGTCTTAACACTAAAAACAAAAAATAATTGCTGAGGTGAAGTTCGAACTCGGGTCGGCGGCGTTATATCGCAACGTGCTGACCACTGGACCACAACAGCACTGTTATGCAGGTGCATTGCGGTTACCCACAAGACTCTTTAAACCACAGTATTACTCACTATTGATGGCTCAATCTTTTTCTCCCCTTATTAGATTTCTGATCAAGATATGTCAGATTTATTAATGTAGTGAATCATCTGATTTTCATTAATATTAATTATTCGAATTCTTATATTCTCTAAAGTGGCGCTGTTTGGGGTCAAATGATAGTTACGTCATCATTAACCTGCAGGCTGCATTCTGCTCATGGGGCTGCGAGAAAATAAATAAAAAGAGTGTAGCTGCAGCAAAATAATGAAAATAATGAGGCTTTGGTCAAATAAATAAAAAAATGTAAAAAAAAGTGTGACTGCTGAGAGTGCAAGCAGCTAGGGACACCAAAACCTCGCAACCAAAAAATGGACCGGCCCACCGGGAATTCTTTCAGTCCTCACGATTAGGCAATCCGGCTTATTGGTAGCCCAATGCGGAGCGAAGCACAGTTGTATAAAATTAAGGGTTTATTCTGGAAAAACAGAAGATTTTTTTTTTAAGATTTATTTTTAGCCTTTTTGCCTTTATTAGATAAGACAGTATTTAGACAGGAAGCGAAGTTGGAGAGAGAGAGAGGGGGGGAAGGGTAGGAAAATGTGCTCGAACAGGGATTTGAACACGGTTCGCTCTGACGTGCTACTGCACCATATGTCGACGCGCTAACCACTAGGCTATTGCGCCAACAGTGCTCGATGCATTTTATCCTGCTTATTGCATGACTACTTGCACAAAACAATGAAATTAGACTTAAAGCATTATTCTGAGCCACACAAGTTTATTACATTTTTAATTAAATGTAAAGCTGACAGAAACTAAAACAGCTGATGGAGTATACACTAACCTGCGCATTATTCAGCCACAAGATGGCACCAAAGAGTCAAAAACATTTAGAAACCATGACGTGACAGACAAGCACATACATATAAATGTGTTTGTAAGCATATGGAATTGAATGTATTCGCTGATGATCAAGGTGATTTAAATTTCCCAGGTGAGCCTGTGTTATTTAGCGGATGTTATCTCAGAATAACATACCTTAAAATGTTGCAACTGACCAATCAGGATCAAGTATTCCAGATAACCGTGTAATACAATATTAAAACTGTGTAATCAAAATGATGTCAAACGTACAATACAAATAAAGCTGACCTCTCAGTCTTACCTTATATTTCTGTATGTTACTCTTTAACAGGCTGACCTCCTCCTGAACTTGTTTTAATCGCTCATGCAAGTACCTGCAGGGCAAAAATATTAAATTCAGGTTTTACATGATATATACACACACACACAAGGAAATGGACACTAGAACCAGACAACGAAGAGCAAGACAATGGACATGGACACAAAGACCAGGCAACGTAGAGAAAGACCAAGAAGATGAAGACTAAGACCAGACAAAGAAGAGACAGACCAAGAAAATGAAGATAGAGACTGAGAAAGACATTGGACATGGAGACAAAGACCAAGAAGGTGAAGACTAAGACCAGCCAACGTAGAGAAAGACCAAGGAGATGGAGACTAAGACCAGTCAAGAAAGAGCAAGAAGAGGGAGAATAAGACCAGACGACGAAGAGAAAGACCAAGAAGATGCAAACGAAGAACATGAAAACTAGGACCAGACAACGTAGAAGAAAGACCAAGAAGATGGAAATGGACATTAAGACCAGACAACGAAGAGAAAGACCAAAAAGATGGAGATCGAGACTAAGACCCAGAAGATGAAGACGAAGATAGAGATGAAGAGACAAACCATGAAAATGAAGATGGAGACTAAGACCAGACAACGAAGAGAAAGACCAAAAAGATGAAAATGAAGACTGGAGATGAAGACTAAGACCAGATGACGGACTAAGACCAGATGACGAAGAGAAAGACCAAAACCAAGGAGACTATGAAGAAGCCTACAAGGACAAAGACCAAGATGAAAACTAAGACCAAATGACCAACACCAAGTAGACTACGATGATGACAAAGACCAAGATGAACACTAAGACCAGACCATGAAGAGAAAGACCAAGACTAATACCAGACTATAAAGAATTCATCGCGATTGCAAGAGGTCGCGATCTCCAGCAGTTGATCTTCTTGCATTCACCTGATTTGTTGACAAATGGGTTGCGAATGCATTTTTTGGCAGTTCATGGGTTCTTCACTGGGCCTTTTCCCAGAAACTTTCCAAAGACGTCTGTTTCTCACTCATTTTGTTAAATTTGGAAGCTCAAGCAAGCGAGATGTAACCGAGATAATATGTTCACTTTTCAAAATAAAATACTTTTCAAAATAAAAGCTCGTTCAGATTTAGAAAATAAATAAAACGGAAATTATTAATGGTTTGTTGTGCGGCCAATAGATACACAGACCGTAGCCCGGTGGTTGAGGACCACTGCTATAACCTACGTGAACAGGCATTTTGAATAACTGTAACTACTGCAGTGTAGAGCATTCAGTGATGTAAATCTGAAAATCAACACTGACTTGTTTTCCATGCAGAGAGCATCCACATCGATGATGCGCTTCTCCTGTCCACCCAGAATGTGGTTCAGCTCTAGGTTGAGGCGTTCAGATTTCTCCTTAAAAACAGTCCTTTCTGCCTTCACATCCTGCAGCTCATCACTCAGCGTCTTCAGAGTGTGCTCAAGCTCTTCTCTCTGAAAGCAAATACCAGTGAATATTGCAACACAATCTCACGCCAATTTCTATCTTTTTAGATTTAGTAGCTAAGTCTATACGATCTGTTCTACCTTTTAGAATATGGCCTAGAGCAACGTCTGCTGTTAAACACTAGCCTAGAGCGCCGTCTGCTGCTAAACACTAGAGGGCCATCTGCTGTAAAAACCAGTCTAGAGCACCGTCTGCTGTTAAACACTAGCCTAGAGCTCCATCTGCTTTACGAGCTAGTCTAGAGTGCCGTCTGCTGTTAAACACTAGCCTAGAGCACCATCTGCTGTTAAAACACTAGCCTAGAGCGCCATCTACTGTTAAACACTAGCCTAGAACGCTGTCTGCTGTTAAACACTAGCCTAGAGCGTCCTCTGCTGTTAAACACTAGCCTAGAGCACCGTCTGCTGTTAAACACTAGCCTAGAGCTCCATCTGCTTTACAAGCTAGTCTAGAGTGCCGCTTGCTGTTAAACACTAGCCTAGAGCCCCGTCTGCTGTTAAACACTAGCCTAGATCTCCATCTGCTTTACAAGCTAGTCTAGAGTGCCGCTTGCTGTTAAACACTAGCCTAGAGCCCCGTCTGCTGTTAAACACTAGCCTAGAGCGCCGTCTGCTGTTTAACACTAGCCTAGAGCGCCATCTGCTGTTAACACTAGTTTAGAGCGCCATTTGCTTTACAAGCTAGTCTAGAGCGCCATCTGCTGTTAAACACTAGCCTAGAGCGCCATCTACAGTTAAACACTAGCCTAGAGCGCCATCTACAGTTAAACACTAGCCTAGAGCGCCATCTGCTGTTAAACACTAGCCTAGAGCGCCATCTGCTGTTAAACACTAGCCTAGAGCGCCATCTGCTGTTAAACACTAGCCTAGAGCGCCATCTGCTGTTAAACACTAGCCTAGAGCGCCATCTGCTGTTAAACACAGATAAGTGCAATAAAGAGTATTCAATTGTGATGAAACCTAAAGTCGCACATGTAAAGCCGCTTTCTCCAGCTGCCGGACCAGATCCTCGCGCTCATGGGCTGGAAAATGTCTGATGCCGACTTCATCATCTCCAAGCCTCTGTTTTGTGATAGTCATCCTTAACAGCTACGAAGAGAACATGAAATAAGGGAATGATTCCACTTTCTGGAACTTTCTTAAAAGTCTTTCTAATCTTAGTTTATAGTCTTTTATTTCTGTTTTAGCTCTTAAGAATTTGTATGCAACTGAATGTATAAAAAACGTCTGCACATGCTGTTATGGGATATCAGTACCACAGATGTTACCTTATTGTCTCCCTGAGTCTCGCTGAGTCTCTGCGTCACTTCCTTTACCTCTTCAGCAAGCTGTTTATTTCTCTCCCTCGAATCCATCAGCAACTGAGCCAAATTCACCTGAGAGAAAGAAAAAGCAGAAAACTTAAAGACTGCTTTAATTCTAGACTAAATAAAACAAATATGACTTTCTCCGGAAGACAAAAGTATACCTGGCAGCCAGGCCGGACACCACACACTAGCTGATTGGTGGAGAGGAGACAGAGTGATGAAGCCAATTATGATATGGGGAGGGTTAAGGCTGATTAATACTTCTGCGTCAAACGCCGGCGTATGCTACGGCGCTAACGCATAGCCCTTCGCCGTGGCCGTCGCCGTGGCCGTCGCCGTCACTGACGTGCACCTCTCAAAAAATGTAACTACACGTCGCAACGACGCGTAGCGTAAGCTCTGTGATTGGTCGGCTTGGTAGCGCTGTCGAGTCTGGGCGGGACCGAGAGCTGCGTGAATGGTGCGAGCCTGATGGAGCGATTGTTTACAAAAGTGGAGTCCCGTGAAGGAGCTCCGGATGGAAAGTTTTGTTTTGTGTTTACCTCATAGTTAAAGTTGTTGCACGTCCGCTGGTTCCTTCCTAAAAATGAGCGAGTTTGAGCCACTTGTACATCCTGGAAGTGTTCAGGAAAAGCAAAAAAGCAGCAAAGAAACTCGACACAGAGGAACATTTACACCTCACTGCCAACTAGCGTTTCGGAAGTGTTATTGCAGACCGACAGAGACAGCGCGCAGAAGTATAAATGCACAGCCAAGCGCGTGCATGCGCCGTGGGTTAAGCCGGTCACCTGACGCAGAAGTATAAATCAGGCTGTAGGTTGGCCATGATGGGGCCAGTGGGGAAATTTGGCCAGGGTTAAACTACTTCTCTTTTTTAAAGGAGATACTGGGATTGTTAACAGTCCAGTCACTATACTAGGGCATTAGGACACACATAGGCTACGTTCACATTGCAGGCAAATGTGGCATGAATCTGATTTTTTTCCCCCTCATGTGACTCAGGTGATGACAGTGTGAACAGCCCAAACCGCATGGAATCTGATCTTTTCAGGTCAGATCTGTGCCACTTTCATATGTGGTCTTAAATCAGACACAGATCTGATGTTTTGCAATGCGACCGCAGTGTGAACCGTTACGTCGGATTTCATGTGACTTTTACATTATCTTTGAGCGACACGCGTCATCATTCTGTGCTGCAGACATCATCTACCCCTCAGCAGCACAGTAGAACAGCACACAGGGCGATTACTGCACCACAGAAAGTTGGTTGTTCATGTTGAAAAAGATTTTAAAGGCAAAACTGCCGCTTGTTAACTAATCTGGTTAACGATTGAGGCACGGGTTGATTGCGAAGTCGAAAAGTGTCGTGGGTGTTGTGGATAGGGGATTCGGGTGCAAAGGAGGAAGAACTTTTTCTCAGAGAGGAAAAAAAGGGCAGGTGCTCGAGCACCCAAACCGCCCTTCGGCACGTGTCTGCTGTTTATAACGAAGTAAAATTAAATAACTCCGCAAACGGAGATAAACCAACTCCGCCTTCACAGCTCAGTCTGCGGCTGCTCATTAACCCTTGATGAGTTCACTACACCGGTGATCAGAGCGTCACGCACATCGATTGTCATAAATCACAAATGATCAATATTTTTATATCACAGGAGACTCATTTAAGGTCTCAAATGCCTAAATACACAGTTGTAGCAGAACAATCATTTACACTTCATGAATTATACCACAATTGTCTGTAAAAAGGGTAATATTCATATAAGCATGATCTGACAACGTGCTTACTCATTCAGCACAAACGTGTGCGAATAATTTTGTGCTCTCTGTAACGCACTTTTGCACATGCGGGTCTGTTTAGGACTATGATCTGTTCACACTGTAAATCTGATATAGGCCACATTTATAAGAGCAGTGGAAACAGCCATGCAAAAAAATCAGATCAGTCACTTTCACTTCTTTTAGACGAGTTCATATCTGTCAGCGTTTGTCAATGATGTTTGCAGTTTGGCAGATATTATTATATATAATGCTGTATTTCCACGAGGCTCGCGGAGCAGCAGTAACTTCACGCTTCCTCCGAGTCGGTGTTTACTCTGGGTCAGCTGGTGCACCAGATCCGGGTTTGTGCAGCAGTGAATCAGCATAATGATCATATTATTAATATTAGTTATTATATATAATATTATTAATATTAGTTATTATAATATTAATTAATATTGGACTGAGGATTTTTTTACAATAATTTATAAATCAATGTGCAATAAAAAGGTTTAATATTTTTATTATTATTATTTAGAGAGGCACTGTTCATGCCGAAATACACAGTAGTTGTAGCAGAACAATCATTTACACTTCATGAATTACACCACGATTGTCTGTGAAAAGGGTAATAATCATATAAGCATGATCTGACAAGGTGCTCACTCATGCAGAACACACGTGTGCATAATTAGACATTTTGTGCTCTCCGTAATGCACTTTTGCACATGCGGGTCAGTTTAGGACCGTGATCTGTTCACACTGTAAATCTGATATAGGCCACATTTATAAGAGCAGTGTGAACAGCCATGCAAAAAAATCAGATCTGAGAAAAAATCAGATTTGAGCCTTGCAGTGTGAACATAGCCACAGACTGCAGGTTGGGCGCCCCCTGCTAGCCTCACTGACACCACTTCTGGCAGCAAACTAGCTTTCCCATGTGGTCTCCCATCCAGGTGCTGACCGGGCACAGCCCTGCTTAACTTCAGTAAGCGACCATGTGAGAGGTGCAGAGACCTGGCTACCGGCATGTTGTGATATGAACATTTGTAGTATTTCAATATATTGCGCTATCCTAATATAAATCAACTGACCTGATTGCGTTTTTCTGGGGGAAGTGAAGATTCACCGTCCTGAAACACAATAGTTAAAATGAACTACAAAGCTATTAAATACTTGACATTGCATGTGCAACTTGACATTTCTGATCCTACGATGTGATTATTGCAGATCCACACATTACTGAAACTATATATTTTGCAGCCCTAATGTATAGTACGCCTTTAGATGCGCACAATTAGCTCTCTGTATTTCTTCTTCAAGCTCTGGTGTGTCTCCCGAAGCTGGTTGGCCATCAGCTTGTATTGGTCTCTCTCCTGCTGACAGGTGTCCAGCTCTTTGGACAGAATGAGAAGAGCATCTTTCTTGCTCTCCAGCTTACGCTTGCATATCAAGAACTGCAGAAACAAAGATTATAATATCTAAGTTATTGAGTGCGAGTAAACGGTGATTCAAATTGAATTTTTGTGAGAACTATCTCTTTAAGGCAGGCAAACTCGGTTCTAGAGGGCCGGGGTCCTGCAAAGTTTAGTTCCAACCCCATCAGATACACATAGGCTAGCTAATCAAGCTCTCACTAGGCTTTCTGGAAACATCCTTGCAGGTGTGTTGAGGCAAGTTGAAGCTAAAATCTGCAGGACACCGGCCCTCCAGGACTGAGTTTGGACACCCCTGCTTTAAAGCATCAAAATATAGAATACATTACATCAAAAATAATACAACATTGTCTTTAAAACAACAAATATAGACTGTAGATGCCAGGGGTTCCCAAACTTTTCAGCCTGCGACCCCCAATATGACGATGCCAGTGACTCGCGACCCCCAATATCCTGGCTATGAATACAGAAACCTTGCATGCAATGTCACACACACACCAATACACCCAGGGATATTCTTCGTTTAATGTCAGTGTGGTAAATGGGCCAGAAACTTTAACCTGGTGTTATAAAATCAATCTGCTGCATCTGACGCTATTGCTGTGTCTTTAATATAATGTAATTACTACTGGGGTCGCAATCCAATAGAACTATTAACTATAAGCTACTATAGTAACTATATAGTAATTATAAACGACTATATTTTTTCTCTTCTGTAGGTTATGGATAAAATATGGTCATTCTTATATGATTTAATAATAATAAATAGATTTTTTTTAAATAACCAGGCGACCCCCCTTCATTGTCCCGCGACCCCTCGAGGGGTCCCGACCCCCACTTTGAGAACCCCTGGTATATGCTATGGTGATACGACAACTATAGTCATACAAACCAATTAACAAATACACAATACATTCATTTAATAGTAAATTACTATCGAGAATCGAAATATACCATTGTTCACAGTCAAGTAAGTAGCACTAATGATATTTGCAAGTATGTCAAGTCATTCTTGCATGTGATTTCAGACCGAATATTCAAAGTAGTACCATAGTAAACAATATAGGAGCGTGTCACAAGTAGTCTGTGAAGGAATGTGCGAATATAAAACCAACTTAATCTCAGTCTAAATATTCACATTCAGACTTTCTCCTTAATAATATAATTTAATCAAAATATTATTTGCCAATTTGCTAAATAGTGAAATCATATTAGCAGCAAATGATATGGAAATACAACACTGTTCACAGTGAAATTAATAGTGCCAATGATGTTTTCAAGTCATCCTAACATGTGATTTCAGAACGAATATTTAAAGTACCATAGTAAACAACATAGGGAGCATGTTACAAGTAGTCACTAAAGAAATGTGCTGATATAAAGCCAATTTTACCTCAATCTAAATATTGAGGTGAAGTTGGTTTTATATTCACACATATAAGGACATTCTTTAATAATATAACTTCACAAAAATATTATTAGCAAATTCTAGCAAATGACTATCAAAATACAACATTGTTCAGTGTCAAATAAATAGTGCTAATGTAGATTTTACGTCATATTTACATGGCATTTTACACCGAATATTCAAAGTACCATAGTAAACAATGTAGGGAGCGTATTGTCACTGAATGAATGTGCGAATCGGAATATAATACCAACTTCAATCTAAATTATGACCATGTTCATTACAAAACACTGAAACAAACTGCCTAAAACTTGTAACAAAAACTATTTAACATTATGTTGTGTATTGTTCAGGTGTTCTGGCAGTGATGCAGTGCCATATGGGAACAGCCATAATCATCATAACCATCATCATGGTTTTTAAGTAAGGCAACACTCACCTCACTAACTAAACCTTGCCAGTCACTTTCACTTCTTTTAGACGAGTTCATTTCTGCCAGCGTTTGTCAATGATTTTGCAGTTTGGCAGATATTATTATATATAATGCTGTATTTCCACGAGGCTCGCGGAGCGGCTGTAACTTCACGCTTCCTCCGAGTCGGTGTTTACTCTGGGTCAGCTGGTGCACCAGATCCGGGTTTGTGCAGCAGTGAATCAGTATAATGATCATATTATTAATATTAGTGCGGGCCTGCATGAGTGAATGAGGATTTTTTTTACAATAATTTATCAATCAATGTGCAATTAAAAGGTTTAATATTTTTATTATTATTATTTATAGAGGCATTGTTCACATTCAACCACTAGATGGCGAACACGGAACGTAATGGCGTTGCTTTGTTCATTGTTTTAAATCAGAATGATCATAACCTGCTTTTGCTTATTTCCCCAGTAAAGTTCTTAATCTTTTTATTATGTAATGGTCAAAGAAGTTTTACAGTTTGTAAACATTTAAAACACAGAACGCATAATTATGTCTGTTTTCACAGACTAAATTCAATTGCCAAAAAAAATTCACCACCAAACAGTGCAAGTTGTAAAATATTGTAACGTGTTTATTTACACAGTTCAAATAAACAGTAAGGGTCAGAATTGACGTACAGAAAGGACATTTGCACAGCATTTGCTTTTAGTGACCATGCAAACTGAATGACACCATCAAATTATAACAAACATGATGGAAGGATGAAAAACTTGGTTAAGGACAACTGCATAGAAATAAACACCCTCAAGAACACTGAGTGCAATAATAATCAGTCAGGATAATATTGTTAATTAAATTTGCAGACTTTAAGTTTTAAAGTCTGCATAGGGGCAGTCCCATAAGTCCCAAAGGGGGTGAGGTTTAATATTTGCACTCCTCCTCTCATCTTTCACTTACAGTATACCAGCTGTTGGAGGGGCGTGGTTAAGCATATTTCACCCAATCCATCAAACTGACATCATCAGAGAAAGATTTCTGTTCCAAAACACAGGCAAATTGTCAAGTTTTGATTAAAGATTACCAAAATCAAACTGTTTTTCAAATCGCACTGATTAACCGTTCACCATAAGAATAACAACAATATGCATTACTAAAATTATAGCATTGAGAAATTTGATTTCATGCTGACTTTAAACTATACAACACAGATATGCAATACAGCATGCTTAGAAACCAACATGACATTAAAATGTTTGAATAAACATGGTTTTCCAAGCCAAAAATTCAATGAAACGTTTAAAAAATAGTAGAAAAGCTCTCTGCAATTCAAAATAATTCAATTTTATAGCACAAATATATTCATGATGTTTAACTGATGTCCATAGAGACACTTTCTCTGGAGTTCCAGCCTCTCTCTTTGGCCAACTTGTACACACTCACAAAAAGATCAGGAAATAAAACCAGCGGACTGTTTTTAGCTGCATCTGCTTTACTGTAAAGATAGTGACACAAGAACAACATGATTATTGTGCAATAGCATTAAAGAAATAACTTTCTTTGACTGTTGATGGCAATTAAACGATTATTTCTTTACATATGTTCTACTTTGCATTGTGAACACAGTTTGCCATTAGCCAGCAGTCTATTGTAATCTTTTCCTTTAACTTACTGATGCCCATATAAGTTGCGTATGAAACGCAGCAGGCCCAGCATATTCTCAGGATAGGCTCCCCTCTTTTTTTCTAGTTCCTGGACAAGTTCAGATGGGAACTGAAAAAATAATAGAGCAAGGTCAATTATATGCCTTAATCTGGATAATAATAGCAGGTTTCTAAAGCAATTGATTTAACTTTTGTTTTAGGTTGCTCCTACTTGTCTGATGAAAACAGAAATAACTGCAGGACTAATTCAATAGTATATGGATGCAGCCTTTATGATGCAAGCTGAGATTGCATCACTCAGCGATGCAATCTCAGACACAATGCACTCAATGGAGCTAGTGACGTCACTGTGACGGGTAGGGTTACGGGTGGGGTTACGGGTGGGGTTAGGTAAGCACATTAAAAAGCAATGGATGCAGCTCAGATTGCACTGCACCAGGTCTGCATACAGACCTCTCTTGACAAATTACTTTATATGTGTAATCATAAATGATAAAGAGTACACACTTACTTTAGACTTCCATTCAGCAAAGCTTTTTCCTTCTGTGCATTTTGATATGGCATCAATGAGCTCCTTGTTTGCCTTACGATTTTTTTCAGCCTCGTTTTCACTCCCCAGTATTTTCAGATACCGCACTTTCCTGAAAGTATTTCAGAAACATACATCAGCTACATCATCTAGAGCTCCATCCTGACCACTATATCATCCCTATAGTGTTGCTAATGTGCCTTTGTGACACCATCCACATTACAATGAAAAAATTACTGTAAGCCAGGGGTGTCCACACTCGGTGCTGGAGGGCCCGTGTCCTGGAGAGTTTAGGTGTGTTGAAGTAAATTGGAGCTAAAGTCAGTAGGACACCGGCCCTCCAGGACCGACTTTGGACAGCCCTGCTGTAAGCAGACATTGTTTTTGTTTAAAAGGAACATTAAGATTAATATCTCATGGATAGTCTGGGCATATTAATTCAAGTCTAATATTGTATTTCACCTGTCAGATGTTATCAAGATCGTATTCTACCTTTCATCAGTCCAGAAGAAGGGGTGTGCAAGGCTCTGCTCCACAGTTGGCCTCTTGTTAGGATTTCCATCGATCATCCACTCAACAAGATCCTTCGCCAAATCATCATCCAGATGTTCCAGTGAGTATCTTCCTCGTAAAATATTGCCTTCACAGTCCACATCTTCACCAAATGGATGGTGTCCTCCAGAAAGAATGTAGTACACTAACATCCCAGCAACCTTCAAATAGGTGGAAATGTTACCACTAATGGGTTTGTCTGTGTTGTGTTCAGTTATAGTTTTTTTTTATATTGAAACCAGAATAAACAGAACTTTATTAATTTCCCAGATAAAAAAATTATATTGCTTGATTTTCATATAGAGCAGGGGGTTAAACTCATTTTCTCTCAAGGATCTCTTCAGCATTATGGTTTCCAGAACAAACTGTTAAATAATGGTCACTTTATTTCATTATAACATATTAAAGTACCTCTCAATGAACTGCCACCTTATTGTGGTAGAATGGTTTGAGCATCTGAATAATCCTAGGAGCTATTTTGTCCTAGGTGACAGGTCAAACTAAGTGTGGTTCGAAAAACCTTTATGAGTTAAACTAAATTGAGGACTGTGACGTTGCCTGGCACAGTTCAACTGGGGCTCCCCACTGGAGCCAGGACTGGAGTTGGGGCTAAAAGGAGGGAGATGGGACAATCTTCCTGTAGACCCTTAACCTGCAGTAGGAGGTGTAAGGGGCCAGTGCAATGTGGATTGGGCAGTGGTCAAAGGTGAAAGGAGAAACCCTCTTGTTCAGAAGGAGCAATGCGGGTTTCAGCTTTGTTGTGACCAATTGACTAGCTTTTTGCCCTCTTTAGGGTGCTTGAGGGTTCTGTCCAGTCCACATGTGCTTTGTGAACTTGGTGAATGTCTCGCATGGGGGGGGGGGGGGGGCTCTGGAAGTATGGAGTGTTTGTTAAGGACTGTCTGGTCTCTGTATGACCAGAGCAGTACTTTGACTTGCAGTGCCAGCAATACGTCACTCTTGTTCCCAGTACCCAGACATGTTGGGTTGGAATGATTGTAGTTCGCAGACCACAGTATTTCTTCTCTTCTATTTGTAGATGATGTTCTACTGTTTGCTCTATAAGACCTGGACCTTCAGCATGCATTGGACAATGTGCCTGTCTGTTGTGGTAAAGAAGGAGCTGAGTCCAAAGGCAAAGCTCTCAATTTACCAGTCAATCTACATTCCCACTCTGACCTATAGTTATGAATTTTGGGTCATGAGAAAAAGGAGAAGATCTCAATTACAAGCTGCTGAAATAAGCTTCCTTCGCAGGGTGGTAGGGTGCACCCTTAGAGATAGGGTGATGAGCCACTGAGTAGAGCCACTGCTCCATCACATTAAGAGAAGCAAATAGGTAACTCAGGCATCTGTTTTGGATGTTGGTTTGGAGTTGTTTTGGGCTTGTCCTTCCAGGAAGAGGTTCAATGGCACCTCTGCAGCTGTTAGCACCCTAAGTTATTATTTTTTTTTTTGACTCTATGTGAATATTATATAATTTTCAACTATATGGCAAAATATTTTTTTAACTTAACTATTGGCTTGGCATTAGGGCGGCACCAAGAGGAGGAACTGATGGCACCACAGTTTAATCATTGGTTGACCAATATCTTTTTAAAGGATAAAACCAAAAAACAAATGAACAGCAAATGAACTAAATACACTTTGATTTAATTGGCTTAAATAACACACCTGAATGTCGGAGCTCCTCTTGTACCCGGTGTTGATCTTCTTATTTATGGACTCCTTTGCCTTCCAACATCTAGTTCCAGCAATACTTGTTTGTAATGTGGTTTCACCCTGTTTCAAACGGCGACTTATTCCAAAATCAGCCAATCTGGCCTTTCCTTGTATGTCTATAACAAATGAAAGGAGCTAAATTATTTTAAGGGAATATTTTTTTGTCATTTAATTTATTTTTTAATTCCTACCAATCAGCACATTCTGGGGTTTGATGTCTCGATGGAGGACTTTGGTTTGTGGGTCGTGTAAAACCTGTAAGCTGCACAGAACCTCCTTCACCAGCTTCTCCAGAACCAAAGTTCTCTCATCCTTGTCTTCTGGTAAATGATCTTGGATATACTCCTCCAGTGTGTACTCACAAAGCTGAAGAACAAGGTATCCAAAATGATCATCTTCTGCAAAGTCCACATATCGCACAATGGATTGACTTTCAAGTTCTGGAAGTCGTAGAAATTCCTCCTCATTTTTAAGAACTTGGTAATTAAACTTAACCATTCGTTTCACAGCCACCTCTGTGCCGTCATCCCTCAATCCAAGGAAAACTTGAGTCCCATCACTTCCATTGGCAATCAGAAATTCAGGATCAAGAACAAGAGTAAGACTTGGTAACCTATGTATGTTGTTTATATCCATGTTAGCTAGCTTCTCAAGCTTAGGCCTCCAACGATGGCTGATTTTATGCCACTTTCTTGGCATCACAGTTGACT